TGGGGGTACAGCCCGCCCACCTCTCCTTCGTACACGGTGATTGGAAGGTAGCAAAGATTATCGAGCGAAAGAATGGAACAAGATGCAAAGATCTCTAAATCTTTGGAGCTCCGCTGTGGAGAGCTCGTCCGAGGGACGACGATCGAAAGAGTCCCTAGAACAGCGATATGGAAGACAGAGTGAAGGAGACGAACGATCCCCGGAGTTTCGACCTACGATCAGTGTCGTCCTGGAGGATTTCCTTCGGTTTAAGATTGCTCGAACGATCGCGAGCCACGCCTCGATTAGTCCACGAGACAGTAAACCTAGCAGGATCGAATTTACTGGAGCTAACGATGGTGTCTACTTGCGTGCTTCGGGGGCTAAGGGAGCAAAGACTCGAACTGCACGAAGACAGAAGGCCGCTTGACTGGAAGAGGTATTCTAAGGACGACCTACAAGTTCTCGAAGAAGGAGACTTCGGTCCGAGACTAAAAACCCGTTCTCCGATTTCGCGACTTTAAAGCACCTGCGATTAACCCCTTGACTACGGCAGACTTTGAAACGCGTCGGTCGTACCATACGGCAGAAATTGAGTTACGATGTACAGTAATGTCAGTAATTCGAGCCTTGCAGCTCGTTTCCATAGTTCTTGACAATTCGTAACTATAAAAACGAACCGCGAGGCTCGAATAATCGTATCTCCTTTTCCCAAATTGTCCATTTTTGTGGACAATCTGAGCGTCAGTTAGAGAGACATTACTGTACGCCGAGAATGACGAAATTTTGGATAGGAATGCACTTTTGTGAAAACATATTTCAATAATCAGAAAGTGAATTTCACTACATTAAAACGATATTATTTATTTCTCTGAACCGAATTACTGTAAATGTTACAAATTGAATACTAAAGTAAAACTGTTTTCCTCGTCTAACTGAGATAAGATCTATCGGAATAAATATCGATAACATTTTCTGGGCGCCTATAGGCGCCCTCCGTGTCAGAGAACAAAACGCAAAATTCCTAAGCGCCTATGGGCGCCCACGGTAGCCCAGGGGTTAAGTCGAAGCTGCTCGACCATAATTCGATCCTTCTAATAGAATTAAACATCGTTTCTTCGACGAACGATCGATCTTTCCCGCATATTTCAGGCGGTCGCCGGAGAAACTCGGCGTTCGGATAGCGAGCAAACAATCTCCGACTCGGGAAATAACAGCAGCATCGCGCAATCGATCGAATCCCCGAGATCGGACGGCTTCCCGATTCCGAACGAAAATTCTCGGATAAAAGTAACGGCGGATTGCAACGATAGATCCTCGATAGATCGCTCCGTGGCTCGAGGAAGCATGCTCAGCGCGGATCAGCCGGGAAAACCACGCGAGAACGTTCTTCATCCTTCCGGGCAGATTTTTGGAGGAATTCCAAGTAGTCGAAGAGCTCCTCCGTCCAAAACTTGACGCCTGGATGTGTTCCATTGTCCGTTTGGATTGTTCGGACACGGAGAAAGCGCGATTCTTTCGTGCAAACCGTGGCTTTATTTTATTTGTAACCGATCCGATCGCGGACTTCGGTGCTTAAGAAACGAAGTGGAAAATAGGGAACGATTAAATTCGATTTTACTTTATCTTCCTGTTCGCGCCGAACACGGATGGACCTTGCGAAATAACCAAATGAAATTCGCAGCGTCTTCGGACCCATCAAATACGGAACGACTCCGGTAGCAAACGTGGACGCAATTTATGTGCGGCGTACGGAACGGTTCACCGAAACGAAGGTCTTCCAATTTCCCCGAGATATTTCACGTAAAATTGAAGCCCGCGTACGTCGGTGCTCGAGATGTAACGCGAATCCGCTGTACCAGCGCGGGATGCTGGGCCGCCGTTCTCCGAAAACAACATCCAGACGAACGAACTACAGATCGGGCTCTCTCGGGCGGATCGATGAGCCGGATCTTTTTTTTTCGAAAGGAATTCCTCCCGGCGAGATGCGATTGCGCTTTGCGTACCGTTTTTATTTTCCCTCGGCCACCCGTCTTCCATTCGCCCGCGGCGAAGACGGGGATCGCAGAAATTTTTACGACCGCCGTCCAGGGCGCCGGATTTATCCGGCTCTTATCAAACCGGGCCGAACGATCCGCGCGTTACGCGAACTGATAAAACGTATCACCGGCTCGAATTCCGAAACCCGGCAGTGCTCCGCGAACAGCGCTGACACTGCCGTTCTTCCTTTCCGGATTCCCGGAGTGGAACTTGTTCGGAAAAATCATTTTTTCGCGTGTGTCCGTGGAATTGCGGGCAGAATCTCCGCAACGTGGAACGGCAAAATGTAGAATAAAAGTTCTGCGCTATTTACGAAGTGGCCCTCGGCAAAATATTTGTTGCAGCTACTATGCAGTGGCTCTCGAGCATGGTGGTATCGGCCGGTGAACGATTGTTCGGCGCGGAGAGAAAAATACCGCGAAATGTAGGACAAATTCTCGATTGTTTCGCGAATATTAATACGGCATGCGAGAAGAATCGATTCCCGCGACACACGAGCTCGTCCCGATGGCCGATCGTCGAGCAGCAACTTTCCTTGTGCCTGCCCGGAATTCAATTTCGGCCGATCAATTCTATTCAGCCGGTCTTCCGATATTGCAATACTTCGTCTTTGAGAAAGCGCGGTTTCGCAATTTATGCCATACACTACCACCGTTCTTCCGAGCCACCGACAAGTGGGAACGGTTGAATATCGAACGGCCCCCGTGTTCGATATCACCGTGCTAAAACGGCGGCCGAATATTTCCGAAAAAGCCGAAAAACAATCGCGTCCGGATTTCGTCGGCGCGTCTCGAGACGACCCGTCTCTCTCATCCTGGCGCGAATCAACCGAATTACCGAGCCGAGGAAACTCGAGCTCGAGGAACGTTATTCAGCTCGAACGGTAGCGAATCCTCCGGCTAGGTCGTTAATGCCTCGGATAACGCCTCATCGGGTTTATCTCTTGTTCGGGACTCGCGGCGGCAGCCTATCTCTGTGTTGTACGCTAGTTGAATTATCGCGACTTTGAAACGGAGAACCCGAGAAAGGGTTTCTAATGCTGGCGAGTCCTCCTCCCCCCTCCCCCTAGAACCGGAGGCCGCGGTTCGGCGGCTCTTCGCGTTTAATCGAGTCCCGGAAATTAGTCTGGAAGCGGCTGGTAATCTAATCGCAGCATACGCGATCGGGATCCACGGAGCGGCGCCTACAGAAATCGGAGAACAAGGCCGATTAGTCTCTCTCTCTCTCTCTCTCTCTCTCTGCTCCTTCGAGATCGAGGGCGATCGACGGAAGAACCGATAGATCGCGCGACCGCTCCATTGACAAGATTAAACTTTTATTACCGACGAAGAATTAGAGTTAAACGCCTAGTGCCTGAGAGCTCGGAGAGAGCGATAAGAATAAATAGGGCGTCGAGAGTCTTCGTTTCCTCGTAGCTCCGCCACGAGACTCCTTCGAACTGGACGCAACACACCTTCGCGACCAGACCCGAGATCGAAACTAGCGTGGTGTCCGCGTTCGTCGGAGAGAAAACTCTGAACCGTTAACGACGCTGTCGCCTTCGGATCCGAAACAATTGGGTCCTGCAGGGACTCGTTAAGATTCGTTTCTTTGATTGAGATGCTTCGCAGGACCTTCTAGGCTCTTCTCGGAGCGGTAAACGAAGAAGAATCGTTAGGCCTTCGATCCGCCTAACTTTAGGCCTTAGCAGGTGTTCCGAACTGGAAGCCAGCTTCAGTCACCGAATCATTGGATCGACTTGACTCGCTCGGGTCCCTGTTTCATAGACTTCAAGCCTTCTTTAAGCACCTAGATACCGGTATACCGGCGTTCTTAACACCGTTCGCGTCTCGCCTCGGGCTGATGGAGATACCCTGAGACGTGTGAACGCCGTTTCAACGGTTAGAATCTAACTTTAGGCCTTCGCAAGTGTTCCGAACTGGAAGCCAGCTTCAGTCACCGGATCATTGAAACAACTTGACTCGCCCGGGTCCTTGTATCATAGACTTCAAGCCTTCTTTAAGCACCTAGACACCGGTATACCGGAGTTTTTAGCACCGTTCGCGTCTCGCCTCGGGCTGATGGAGGCACCCTGAGACCTACGAACGCCGTTTCAACGGTTAGAATCTAACTTTAGACCTTCTCAGGTGTTCCGAACTGGAAGCCAGCTTCAGTCACCGAATCATTGGATCGACTTGTCTCGCTCGGGGGACCCTGTATCTTAGAATTCAGACCTTCTTTAAGTACCTAGACACCGGTATGCCGGCGTTCTTAGCACCCAGAGAGACCTATGAACGCCGTTTCAACGGTTAGAACCTGTTTCGAACCGAAAACCAGTCTCAGTCCAGATTCTTAAGCCTAACCGAGACACCCTAGAAACACTCGGACTTCTACGCTTCCGACTTCGGAAGCCACTGTCGACAGAAATCTTGGAACAGCGCAGCATACTCGAACGCTGCCGCGAATCTCGGCTGGAAGCCGATGGTCTCGACGGATCTGCGTACTCGGAGGAGTCTCGGACACAGTCTCCGAAGACCGAGGACCATCGGCGATCGTAGATACGCGAGATTCGATTAGAATTAGCGAAAGGAGACGGCCCGATCGAAAGTTTGAGTGTCGGTGGAGTCACCGATGGGCCGCTCGCCGACGACCTTTGATCCTGGTCGTCGGCTGACGCGAGATGCCCTAGATGGTCCTAGTAAAAACGGGGGGCGGGTACGTAATCAACGATCTTGTAAAGAGATCATCGTCCTTGGCCCGAGCCCGACTCACACCCTTGTCTCGTTGTAGGGGCTGGACGAGGTGCTGGTGCCCTGGCGACGCTGCCGGTCATTGTCGCCGGGCACGTTGAACGCGACATTCGGCACGGTGGTCGGGTCGATCGGTTGATAATGGGACTGGACCGGTTGCCCGCTCGGCTGCGATTGGTGAGAGTGGGAGGAAGACGAGGGTGGGCCCTCGCTTATCGAGGTCGTCGAGGCGAGAATACGGCGACCGCGTACCTGGTAACGTTGGGGGTAGCAGCGGCCGCAGCAGGCGTGCAGCAGGCCGCCCCTCGAGGCAGTGCTGTGCGCGGGCGAGGTCAGAGGTGACGGCGAGCCCGGCCTCTTCGGGGCACCGTTGAACGGCACCTCCATCTCCACGAACTCCCGATCCTGAAACACACCGATCGGATTGCGTTAACGTCGTCGGAAACTTCGCACAACCTCGGCGAACCTGGTTCGTTTAGAACAGCTTTGCAATTAGGGCGCTTATCTCTTAAGCTAGCCGGTTCGGATGATAGACGCTCGCCTGATATGTTTTCAAGTTTTCAAGGAAGGCGTTCGGATAGCAGAAGCTAGACTAACCTGCGACATTGTTCTGATCGTCGCAGAGCGCGGAGATTATGTCAGCATCCGGGACAAAAGTCATAACTTCTGAGCTAATCAATTTTCGACCAAAATGTCTTAATGATTTGTCAAAGAATATACAACGATGCATCGATCTGCATAAGAAAATTATATAACTTATGCAGATCGATGCATCGTTGTATACTCTTTGACAAATTATTAAGGTATTTTGGTCGAAAATTGATTAGCTCAGAAGTTATAATTTTTGTCGCGAATGCTGACATAAGCGCCGCGATCTGTGTATTTTCTTTGACAAATTATTAAGTCATTTTGGTCGAAAATTATATTTTAAAAAAATTATATAACTTCTTACAAAATTCTGGTTTATTTTTTATCTAATAATCAAATCTTATGTTTTTATAAGTGAATGTCCGCGTACAAAGATGTTGACCGGTTATGGCTACATATTTTATTAAATGACTCTGAAGACCGCAACTTATCGTAAAAAAAGTTGTCATAGTACGAAAATGTACTGCCCTACTGAAATATGATGAAATAAGGATCCCAGAATATTTTGAGCCGTTTTCTTTTGAAACCTTATATAAAGTGTAGGGCAGGTTTATTTTAGGTTACGGTTATGTCGGAGTTATGTCGAAGTTATGTCAAGGTTACGTTAAAATGCTAACCCAGTTAAAATGGTCGTTCGTCCGAGGATGAAACAGCTGTAAACATCTATAATACAATTTACAGGAACCACGTCATCGTCCAAACGAAACCACGTTCTCGTCGCAGGCGCATAAAGCTGCCATAGCACGGAGAAAATCGCGTTGGTAATTGTATCCGTAACGAGTTCTTAACCGCGTCCAACTAGACGCAGTTTGGAGCCGCAGCCTGCCGAACCGGGAACTTTGATTAAAAGTAAAGATTCTTTAATTAAATTCAAGTTTGTTCATCGATCCGGGCACCGCTTCGTACGTTCCGGGTAATTGAACGATGGCAGAATACTGCTTCACAATTTACAAGTAGGAAAATCGAGATTTTCCCATCGCCGTTCCCATAACCGTTGCCCGTGCAGGGCAATCTACTTCGCGAGCCGATTAAGCATGGATGGAGAGTCGGAGAATTCGAGTATTGTGGATAAAACGCCGATTTTTCTGCTTGAAGAATGTGGCAGACACTCGAATTTTATAGACGATCGGGCACTTCGAATGACTCGGGGTTCGTCTTTCGAACGCGAACTACCGAACTTAGGCCGTTAACGCTGCAACTTGCAGATTTATCGTTGCCAGCTTGGCATTCGATGTCCGTTCAATTACCGCAGCCGACTGTATCAATTTTCGCAGTTGCGTTTTCTTTGGAAACATTCGTGAGCATGTACAGAGGTATTTTCACACGAATACAATGACAATTTAAATTAATTGTAGAAAACACCACCAACTTAATGGTACAATCTGACGTTAGAAAGACTGTAGGAGTAAAGACAGTTAAATGTCTAACACTCTCAGCATCGAAAATCATATAACAAATACATAAAAACCTTTTAACTAAATTATATAATAAATCTTTTGTATCGTTTTGAAAACTAGCTCAAAATTAGTGAGTAGAGACAGCTAAATGTCTAACACTCCGAGCGTCGAAAATCATATATAACAAATACATAAAAACCTTTTATCTAAATTATACAGGATGTCCCAAAATTATGGTATTTCCAGGAAATGTGGGGTTCCTGAGATCACTTGAAGTAACTTTTTCCTTTACAGAAATGTCTTCCGAGGCATGGTTAACGAGTTATTAATGAAAAACGCTTGACGAATGAGAAGCGAGCTCGATCAGCGCGAGGTGGGGCAGCCAACTAGTGCACGAAGCCCGATGACGTTCACTGGCTCGCCCGCCACGCGTCAACCGAGCTGGGATTCGACCGCTCGACCGCTGGCGCCGTTGGCTCGGCCGCCATGACGTCAGCCGAGCTGGGATTCGACCGCTCGACCGCTGGCGCCGTTGACTCGGCCGCCTCGCGCCAGCTAATCTCCCCTTTCATTGGTCACTGTTTTTCGTTAATAACTCGTAAACGAAGCCGCGGATCGCATTTTCGCTGAGGAAAAAGTTGCTTCAAATGACCTCACGAACCCTTCACTTCCCGGAAATACAATAATTTTAGGACACCCTGTGTAATAAATCTCATTTATCATTTTAGAAACTAGCCAAAAATAAATGTCCTCCAAATTTGTCGGGTTCGTGCACGAAGTAAATTAATTTGAAACAATACAAAAGCGGTAGAAACGAGTAAAATAATGCAGCTTAGAGCACACAGAGATTGTCAATATAGAATTCCGCGTTGCCCTAATTTCCTCAGACTTTGACAAGCATCAAAATAGATTAAATTACAGGAAATTAAGTAGTTCAAATTAATTTAAATTAAAGAATTAATGCAAAGTTTTCAAGAAACAATTTCAGCTTCTACGGAATTGTTCTGGTTTTCCGAGCTTTTTGCCAGAGGCCGCGCGTAGTCTATAAACGATATTAGGTTAGAGCGCGGGTTTCGCCGTGATTAGAGTGGCGTGATAGGCGAAATTCTGGATGCAGAGGCCAAGGCAACAACTGGTCCCGGTTGCAAAACCCGTCGCTCCCCATTGGCCGGGTAATTCGGTAGGAGAAACAAGTTTCCGCGCGCGCTGGGTCGGTGGGATCGCTCGACGGTCGAAACTTTGCTCGGGTAACACCGGTGCTGGACGGGAATGGGTCTCCGCGCGAATCGCGCTCGTTCGAAAGCGAATTCGTCTCTCGGCTCTCGCTCCCGGAACAATTTCCCGCTGTCCCATGGAACGTTTCGGACCGGTTGCCTTTTATAACCACCGATAACTGTCATATTCCTAGTTCGAATCGTCTCTTTTCCATTCGAGAGGTCCAGCATCCTCGGCGGAACGGCCCTCGGCGAATCTATTTATTCGATCGCTCGATATTGAAATTCTGTTCTATTCGACAATTAGCTGTTACCAATCGCCATTAGACCGGGGATTATCGACTGCTCCGTGTCCGATTGAAATCGACTCTGCTCCGTACGAGAAATAACAGTAATAACGAATTTACCGCAGCCTGAATTGTCCGTGAACGTCCATGTCACAAGTGCCCGTAGACTCGCAAGCATCAAATTTTCGTCCCAAAGTGAACTGAAATTGCCTGGCATTTTTCTCAGAACGATCGAACAGGCGTTCCTGTTGTCGCTAAACTGCGGATTGTACGCGTTTGCGGTAAAAATGAGTAGGTGCAATTTAGAACAGTGGCACGTTAAAAATAGTCGAATGATTCCAATACACCGTTTTTAACTTATTCGAATTATTAACCCTTGTTTCTTGTAACAAATGCAGGACATGTCGAGACAATGTTAGCGTCGGTTAGGGAGACATTATTGTACACGATGGCGCATATGTTTGTACATTCTAAAGGGCACGGCCCGCTAAATAGATACATCAAGACATAATGAAACGCAAGGGCCAAGAGAAGAAAAGTATGCTAATCCGGCGGATGATCCAAAGAAAACCGGAGCAGGAGGAGCCGAGGGAGTCTCGCTGACAGGGATAAACAGAGAAAGTGACGAGACAAGATCGTTAACACTAATCCGGGGCGAAGTGGTCCACTAATCCGAGCAGCCGGCTGCATGCTAAGAGCAGGGTCGTCTCTCAAAGGCCAAAGACGAGATGAAATCTATCCTGTAAGTGCTGAACCAGGTCTAGCCGGTGTGCCCGGGCACTTCTAAACCCTTTCCCAGCGGTTTTCCACGAGAGAGAGAGAGAGAGAGAGAGAGAGAGAGAGAGACGTTTGCTCCGTCGCTCGGAATCGAATCTCGAGCCCGTCGCAGCTCGGAGATCGCTGGATCTAACCGGCATCCCCTCGACGCCTCGGCATATATCGTTCCTAAAATTGCGAGAAGAGCCGTCACGTTTCGGCACGCTCTCGCGACATGGTCGACGAACCTGAATCATTGATTTTTCGTCCGAAAATTTCATTTGCCTCCGCGCCGTGATAACGAAAAAAAATGCATCGGCGTAACGTATCCACGGTTTTTCTATCCTCCACGCTTTCCGCCTGTTCGTTCCTTTTTCCTCCCCGTTCCATTGTTTAAACCCGGCCGTATCCCTTCGGGAGCCCTGAAATATCGAAATCTCGGATCTCCGGCTCGCCGATTGAATTCCAGGTATTGAGAAACACACGGGAAACAGATGGCACCTCGTTCACCGAGTATCTCGACTCGGTGACCCGCGAAGATATTTAAATTTCATGAATCCGGTATAATCCGGCCGCACGCGACCCGGAAAATTCCGATTATTTTACATAGAACCGGCGACGAGAGTTGTTTATTCCCCGGAACGACGAGTTCGAGTCCCTGAGTCCGCTGAAGAATCGAGTGGGCCGAGAGAGGAGAGAGAGAGAGAGAGAGAGAGAGAGAGAGAGAGAGTGTTCCAAACCGGACAGAATCTCGTGGAATTCGCGGCTTTCATCGCACTTGTCTTTCGGGCTGGTTTGTTAAATTCTGACGCTACGTAGCGTCCACTATTGCGAATACTTTTGAATTAAATTTATACAGGAAACAGCTCGATGCGGGTTCTTCGTGCCAGACAGATGTTTCAAAAACATGCAGTAGCTGAGAGAACGAAAAACACTTTCAAAATTATCTCTTTTTTTCAGTCGCTTATCCCCGTTTTCCATCTGAAGAGTAATAGTATTTGGAAATTTTGTTCGTGCCAATTAATAAATGGATCGAGATTTCGTTATGTAGATATCGTTATGCGAACTATAAATACAGCAAAAGTCCTCACTCATTTTCTTTC